CAGGCTCAGCCCCAGGCCCCAGCAAGCCCCGCTGGCTGGCCCCGGAGTGGGCGCTGAACTAGCCTTCGGGGGTCCTGAAGTCTAGATCCACGAGCTTGACCTCTGACCTCTGTCCAAACCTGGCCAGCCAGGCTGGGGGGTGGGGGGGCATTTCTGCCTACGTTTTCCTGAGCCACCACCTGCTTCTTGGGAGTCCAGAGGGACCTGGTGGCCTTCCTTCCAGCCACACGGACACGTGTGAGGGAGAGCGGGGCTGCCAGGAGCACCCACAGCCGGGCCCACGCCTCGTCACCCAGCGCTCACCACTCCTCGGGGGCCAGGAGCCAGCCCGACCTGCCCCTCACACACCACCCGTTCCCCGCGGTTCAGACCCAGTTTCCTGAGATACATTTTGCCTACGAGACCTTTGACACAAAAGGAAAAGATGCTCTTTCTTTTATTTATTTTTAAAAAAATATGTTCTTATTGGTTTCAGAGAGAAAGGGAGAGGGAGAGAGAGAGAAACATCAAGGATGAGAGAGAATGGATCGGCTGCTGCCTCCTGCACGCCCCACACTGGGGATGGAGCCCACAACCCGGGCCTGTGCCCTGGCCGTTTGAACTGTGACCTCCTGGTTCACAGGCCGACGCTCAACCACTGAGCCACGCTGGCCGGGCAAGGTTCTCTTTCTGGCTTTTCCAAGGAGCCTCCGCCCTCCTGAGGGGTGGGCCGCCCCCCTCTGCCCCTCCACCCCCTCCTCACTGAGCTGGGCTGGCACTCCTGGCAGGGGGGACGGGGAGGGCAGGAGGCCACCCTGGGAGGGTTACCCGGCGGTTAGGGGACATCATTTCCATGTCCCCCACAGGCCAGAGGAAGGACAGAAATAGGAGCCCTCAGGGCCCGCCCTGCCCTGCTCCTCAGTCGCGGGGGACAGGGGCGCTGGTCCCCGCCTCCGTGGCCCTTGGCGCTGGCACCTTCAACTAGGGGGTGGGTTAGGAATGAGGGGGAGCTCAGTCTGCACCCACAGAGGCCACACAGCCCTGAGCTGCCAGGCCCCCCCCCCAGTCCAGCCCCACCCCCCTCAAGCCCCAGCCCCAGCCC